TCTCAACACTGCTTCTGGACCCTTCTCCCTGGCTCCTCCCCAGGAGAGCCTTGCCTCTGACCATGCACCCAATACTCCACCTTCTCAGCCACCGCAGACCACTGGGCCACTCCCACCGTTTCTTGAGTATTTCAGCTCCCGGCTTGCTGTCACTCTCTCCAACACGACTCCTGTCATCACTCTTGGCTCTCTCAGCAGCTCCTCTCGTGTCCCTAGCTCACGACCTCTAGGACACAAATCCTAACTCTTCAACTCCACACGAGCCAGCAGTCCCCTGATCCAGCTGTTTTTTCAGTCCTCTCCCCGCCACGACCTCATTTCTTGCTTACCCAGCTTAGACGCCACGGTCCATCATCACCACTGCACGTAAATCTCAACACCCTCGCTCCTGTCTCAGCTTTCGTTCCTTGTTCATCAATGAAAACTCCAATGCTGGTTAAGTCTACATCTCAGCCTCCCTCATGGCCGCATGTGAATAGAGAAAAACAGTCATGCTGATTGGTCTGGCTTTAAACCCCTGGCGCTAACCTCATGTGGGCCCTTAGTGCTGCTGGCAACCCTCCTTCACTCTCTAGTCCCTTCATTCCCCCCAATAATAGTGATAGCTAACAACAGAAATAGTCTAGGTACTTTGACAGGTATTCACTCACTCCATTCTCATAACTACCCCATGTGATTTTGTCTGTCTGATTAACAGATGAAGAAAATGAACTATAACATGGTAAAATAACTTGCCCAAAGTCACACAGCCAGTGAGTGGCTGAGCCAAGACTCCAACCCAGGCGGACAGCTCCGACGGCGGTGCTCTTGACCTCTCTAGGAACGTTTCCTGTCTCCTGTTCCTTCCTCACACTTCCCACGCCTCTCACCTCCTCCTCCTCCAACCTGTTTCAGTCTATCATCTTCTTGTTTTGTTCCAATAAAGGCACCCAGCAAAGAACTTCCACAACCCCCACCATCACATCTACACCTCTAACTGCATCTGTGTCCGTATATTCGGCCTTCCCTCCTAAACCATGCCCCGACTATCACCCTCCTGTCTAGGCAACCCTTCCATCCGGGCGCCCGGCCCCAGGCCCCCTCCCAAGGACACTGCCCCAGCAGGTGGCCCCCCTCCTATACCATCAGTTTTTCCCTCTGTACAGGATTATCCCCATCAGCATACCTGCTGTGATTTCCAATATAACTCTCAAATGAATTAGGAATCTCAAAACATTTGTGCTAAGTGAAAGCAGCCAGGCCCCCTGATCCTAAATTCTATATGATTCCATTTACATAAAATTGCAGCAAGTGCAAACTAATCTACTATAGTGACAGAGTCAATCAGTGGTTGCCTGAGGAAGGGGCAGGAGGAAACTTTGGAGTGGGACGGATGTGTTCATTATCTTGCTTGTAGTGATGGTTTCACAGGCGTGTACATAGGTCAAAACATATCAAACCGAACACTTAAAATGTGCAGTTTTTAGCATGTCAATTACACCTCATTGAAGTTATTTTTTTAGAAAACCATCTTGGCCCCACAACCCTCCAGCCATTGCCCAATTTTTCTGCTCCCCTTTACGGTAAAACTCCCCAGTGAGCCACCTGAATGCCCCATCTTGCTTTTATCCCACTCCCTGACTTTCTTGCCACTCTCCTCTCCCTTGCTCCAGCAGCTACACCAGCCACCGTGCTGTCCCAAGCTCACCAGGCTTGTTTCTGCCTCAGATCTCTGCACTCTGCCCCAGCCGTCCCTGAGGATCCCTCTTCATTTCCTTAAGGCCTTTGCCCAATTGCCACCCTGAGCCTTCCTCACTTCTCCACTGAAAACTGCAATCCACCTCCCACACCTCCCATTCTGCCAGATTTTTCTCCATATCACTGATCACCCCCTGACTCGATAGGTACTTGTTTACTGAACACCTACCTCTTCCAAGCAGAATATTAGCTCCAAGAGAACAAGGATTTCGTGTTTTGTTCACTGCTGTAAACCCCAAGTCCCTGGCCTCTAACATCTCTCTCAATGACTATCAGGATTAGCGGACCAGTGTCTTTGGAGTCATTTGGTTATAAATAAGGGAAACCACTCGCACTCACCCAAGCAGAATTTACTAGAGGGATTCCAAAGATCCCCATGGAGCCGAGAGGAGGAGGCACAGCCAGAAGGGAGACAGAAACCATCGCGGACTAGTTCTCTAGTTCGGACCTGCGGAGACAGGAAGGCCTTGCCCTGTTTACTTTCTCATTCTCCTCTCTCTCTGCAGACCAGCTTCATCTGCTGATGACCCAAACACAGCATTCCCAGCCCCCACACTTTCCCGGATCACAGATACGATTACAATCCCAATGACAACTCCCTGCTGAGAGAGGGCCTGGTCCAGGCGACTATGGCAGGGGGAGGAGGTGTGGAGCTTATGTATCAATGAGGGTTTTTTAGTGTCTGAAAGAGTCTTTTGTCCACAGGAAAGACAATTTATGGTTACTTGTTAAAATTAAGCATTTTAAAACTTTCCTTAGGGGGCCAGCCCAGTGGCATAGAGGTTAAATTCTCAAGCTCTGCTTCGGTTGCCTAGGGATCGCAGGTTCGGATCCCGGTGCGGTCCTACTCACTGCTCATGCTGTGGCGGTGTCCCACACGCAAAACAGAGGAGGATGGGCATGGATGGTAGCCCAGGGCCAATCTTCCTCCTCAAAAAGAGGAAGACTGGCAACAGACGTTAGCTCAGGGCCAATCTTCCTCATACACAAAAAAAACTTTCCTTAAGCTTTTAAGTTTAACTTACAAATATTCCGTTCAGAAAACTAGTACATTTTAATATAATCCCTTTTAAGGGGGTCTTTAATTAATATTTGATAGAGTTGATTTAAGTTGAATAGACTGAATTTCTTTAAACATCCCCTTTACAATCCAAATGCCTTTAAACAACTTAACAGCTTAACAGCTGTAAAATGTATTTATACATTTAATATATCTGATTTTCTCATAAATAGCACTTCAAATGCTTGACCCAACAAGAAAAACCTTCCCAGGTACTTAACTCTGATAAATATAATAAATTAAATGTACAGTGACTTTCTAAGTTCTCTGAAACATTTCAATATTTTCGCAGGCTTAGTAACATTTCAAAATACCTTTCCACTAAAATTCACAAGTCTAAAAACCTGTTAGGCATTTTAAATTAGAATCCGGAGGCCAACGTCACAGACTGTAATGTGCCAATTATGTTTAAACACTTCAAACAGCAAATACCAGTTTGTCCCAGTGAATATAAAAACTATTCTTGATTTTAACACACAAGTATCGATGGCTATGGGAACTGTTTCCTAATCTTCTTAAAAATTTGCAATCATTACACATTTCATCTAAGAAGTGCAGCACTCAGGGAAGTTGCTAAAGGGAAGGAGGGGCTTCTGCCCCAGCAGGGAGGCCAGTTCAGAGTGCGGGGAAGACAGAAATTCAAGCTCGGCGAATCAAGAGTGAAGTAATAACTACCGCAGTAGTTCAGTGTTGAATGAGAACACCAGCCTTGGACAGTTGTGGTGAGAATCAAATAAAGTAATTTATGGGAAGACCCTTGTCACATTACACATTTGATGGCAGCTAGTTTTAGATACAATTTCAACTTCTAATTTTTACTAATAGACAAATTATCGGCATACTTATGATGTTCAAGTTTTAAAAAAGCTTTTACATACAAAATTTATTTAAATAAATTAACCCTTCTCAACATGAAGACACAGTTTCTGACCTTGACTCATCTCATAATTACGCAGGGGAGCGAACGCTTGGTTTCTTCAAGCCAGCTGCTGCATGATTGTTCACACCAACTCGTGAAAAGGACACCAGATCCTACTTTTGAGCATACGCCCTTACTAAAACATATATTTTTTTCTGCTTTAAAAAAAAAATGTGAATTCACAGAACTGAAATTTTAAGAGGAGATTCCCATTACAAAATCTTCCTTTAATGAACAATGGGTTCTTCTAGCTCAAGGCACATTTCCCTACAGGTATAACTACTCGAGATGGGAGAGCAATTGGGAGAAAGTGGGAGAGGTAGTTAAGCGTGAAATCGGTGCGCTAGGAGTCACTAGCCAGCGACTATCCATCAGGAATACATCTCAGAAATCCAAGAATATGAATCTCTTTATAAAAAAATGTAATTTACATTGAACTTTTTAAAAATACAACTATTTTCCAAAGCATGCGACTCTGGCTTGGAGTTCTGAAACACAAGATGACTGTGAAGAACAGAGACAAAAATCTAAATCCAGATCAGAGAAAATGGCTTTCAGAGGGGGAGTAGCTGCAAGATAGGCTCCAAACACATGTCTAAAAGGCTGAAAGACTAGTTATTACAAGTGCAATGGAGCAATGGCAAATTTTATCATTTTATCATAGCAAGTTGAAAACCTGGTAGAAAGGCTGCATATTGAGAAGGAAAAACACATGGTCCAATAAGGTCTCTCTGTAGACACTGTTCTGATAAGGATAGTCAGGATTAAAGACATAAAGAGAAAACCTGGGGTGGAGAGCGTGCCTCATTAGACTCTGAATACGTGTCTAACTGGTGTCAATTATTCAGAGTTGGCCGTGGATTTGCCACACTTAGGACAGGGACAGTGCCATTAGCAGCTGAAGCAGAACGTGGGGCCTAGGGTGACTGATGGCGTCCAGGAGATGGGAGGCAAGCTCAGCGGCAGCCTGGAAACCCCAAGGTAGACATTTGTTTTGTTGTTGTTTCTCCAGGAAAGAAGTAAAAAATAAAGCCCTGTTCCTTTGGCAGGATTCCCAGTTGAAACCCTCTCCAGAGTTCTGAATGCCTACCCAAATGGTGGTACAGAACTTTGCTGTATTAAAATTAGTATCAACTTGTCCGAGGTAGACATATACCATGACCAAGACAGCTGAGCTCCTGAAGCTGAAGACACCATGACATAATTCAAAATATTACGTGAAAACCATGTCTTAAAACCAGTACTTATTTGCCAATCATAGTTATTCCAATCTCTTTCATAAGATTGCTTCTATAAATAGTTTTTTATACTGTGTCAAGGAGATTCTCTTTCCAATAGTCAATAGAATCAAATCTAATCCAAGTTAGGAGTTCCTAGGAGTCTTATTAAGCAGACACTATGATTCCATCTTCTTTTTCTCTGGAAATCCATCAGACGTATGCTGCAAGATAGAAGTGCTTTCTTTCCTTGTCATGGTAGCAAAAAGCATATCCATCATCCCCAAGGTTTCTAGGAGTTCTCTTTGGTAATCAATCTCTTTTTCAACAAGTCCTTGAAGTACCAAAAACTTCTTATCAACTACAGGTGACTGACCAATCACAGGCAGATAGATATCTAGAAAGAGAGAGAGAAAATACATTACCTAGACATATCTTTCTAAACAATAAATAGCAATATTAAGAAAAAGTATAAAAATACTGTATAAAAAGACATTGAAAAATCTGAACTTATTTTACAATTTATGAATTACAGAAAGTAAACAATCCATCTGAATAAATGTATTTTAAAATGAATTACAGGGCCGGCCCTGTGGCTTAGCCATTAAGCGTGCGCGCTCCGCTGCTGGCGGTCCGGGTTCGGATCCCGGGCGCACACCGACGCACCACTTCTCCGGCCATGCTGAGGCCGCGTCCCACATACAGCAACTAGAAGAATGTGCAGCTATGACATACAACAATCTACTGGGGCTTTGGGGGGAAAAATAAAAAAAATAAATAAATAAAATAAAATGAATTACAGGGCCGGCCCCATGGCTTAGCGGTTAAGTGCTCACGCTCCACTGCTGGCGGCCCGGGTTCGGATCCCGGGCGCGCACTGATGCACCGCTTCTCTGGCCATGCTGAGGCCGAGTCCCACATACAGCAACTAGAAGGATGTGCAACTATGACATACAACTATCTACTGGGGCTTTGGGGGGAAAAAAAAAAATGAATTACAGAAAACACAGCATGGAGGTTAACTTATTTTCATTTTCCCATTAAAAAATATTCATGTTCATTGTAGATGTTTAAGAAAAAAATTTTTTTAATTATAATAACCCTAGTCCCAGAAATTCAAAGTCAAACCACTGTAAACATTGTATTCCATTTTAAAATGTATCGATTTACTGTTGTTGCTTGTTTTCTCCATGAAAATATTTATTGGAGAATTGATAAAAACAAGATACTTTGATAAATTTGATTTTATTATTTGACATCTCTACTTTGCAAGCATGCTAGGATTTTTCAAGTTTTAACACCTACTTACCAATAATTATTTCAGCAGCATTGATCAAAACAGGGGCAAATCTCGGCTGAGATAGATTCCTACAAAGCAAAAATTCTGTTTACTAAAATATGCAACCTTTAAAAAACATCCTTAAAATAGATTTACTGCATTGTTCCATCAGTTCTCTATAAAGATCGAACTAAAAGTAAATGTCTCTCATTTGGAGACAAAGGATTTCAGATGCAAGATACATGTGTTTCATAGACATAAAACATACCTTATCAGAAAATTAAGAACACGACTGATTTCCTTTTCATCTCGACCTGCGAGGGCATTTGCAAGGACTCCTCTTCGATTTAGCTCCTTTATGATGGAAACTGTAACCTCAGGTGTCTGTATTGTACAACTGGGCTAGAGAGATTTTCAGAGTCAACGTGAGCAGACAAGACAGCATAAGAAAAAATCATAGTCTTGGCACTCACTAACAACTTACCAAATTTAAATAGGTCTTTATCTTCACAGTTTTGAGTCATGGTAATGCACAAAGCCAGTAATAAAATGATTCTTTTAAAAATACACTCCTTATAAACAAATGGGTCTACATCAAACTAAAAAGCTTCTGCACAGCAAAGGAAACCATCAACAAAACAAAAAGACAACCTAGTAACTGGGAGAACATGTCTGCAAATCACATATCCTATAAGGGTTTAATATCCAAAATATATAAAGAACTCGTACAACTCAAGAAAAACACAAACCCAATCAAAAAACAGGCAGAGGATATGAACAGACATTTTTCCAAAGAAGATATACAGATGGCCAAAAGGCACATGAAAAGATGTTCAACGTCACTAATTATTAGGAAAACGCAAATCAAAACTACAATGAGATATCACCTCACACCCATCAGAATGGCTATTATTAATAACACAAAAAATAATAAATGTTGGAGAGGATGCAGAGAAAAGGGGACCCTCATATACTGCTAGTGGAATGCAAACTGGTGCAGCCACTATGGAAAACAGTATGGAGACTTCTCAAAAAATTAAAAATAAAAATACCATATAATCCAGCTATTCCTCTTCTGGGTATTTATCCAAAGAACATGAAAACACTAATTCGAAAAAATATGTACACCCCTGTGTTCCCTGCAGCATTATCCACAATAGCCAAGACTTGGCAACAATCTAAGTGTCCACCAACAGACGAATGGATAAAGAAGATGTGGTTTATATATATCATATATACAACGGAATACAACTCAGCCATAAAAAAAAAAGACCAAATTGTGCCATTTGCGACAACGTAGATGGACCTTGAGGGTATTATGCTAAGTGAAATAAGGCAGACAGAGAAAGACAATTACCATATGACTTCACTCATATATGGAAGATACACACACACACACATAGATATGGAGACCAGATTGGTGGTTACCTAAAGGGAAGGGGGAGGGGGAGGGCGAAAAGGGTGTCCCTGCACATGTGTGTGGTGACAGACGGTAACTAGACTTTTGTTGGTGAACAAAAGTCTTTTGTTGTCTATACAGAAGCTAAAATATAATGATGTACACCTGAAATTTAGATAATGTTATAAACCAACGTGACCTCAATAAAAAATTATATATATACACAATACAATATATATATTGTAGATTCATCAGTTGTAACAAGATTCATCAGTTGTAACAAATGGACCACTCTGGTGGGGGATGTTGATAATGGGGGAAGCTGTGCATACGCAGGGGCAGGGGGTGTAGGGAAAGCTCTGTACCTTCCCCTCAACTTTGCTGTGAGCCTAAAACTGCGCTAAAAAAAGAAAGTCTTAAAAAAAATTGCTCACCTCAAGGACTCTGTCAAGCGCCTTAGAGATTCGGAAATTTTTCAGATCCCTGTCATACAATTCTAGGTGTTTCTTTGACGGCCTGTTGATCAAAATGTCATCCTGTATTGAAAAGTGAGTTTACAAGGAAAAATCATTATCTGTATAGAGTTTCATTTAAAATAAACTTTTCCATAGTGGTATGCTTTTACACCAGGGTGCCCCCGAACTACATCATTTACGGTCATACACCCATGATGCAAATGAAAATGGAATACTTTGCTACATCAATGTGTTCTTACTCTCCTATGACTTTAACTTACAGTACATACACAATACCTCAATTCTGGGCAAATATTACTCATTTCAATTCTCTTTACATGGAAAGCAGTATGATTTAGTAGAAAAAGAACACAAGAATCAGAAAAATTTCCATCTAGTCCCAACAACTCTGGTTACCGGTAACGAAATCCTGGATCAATCACAAATTCTTTGTATCTCCTTCGTCCCAGATGCCAAATGCGGACGTGATTGGCTCTACTACTTTTCAGGGTTGTTTAGAAGATCAGATTAGATAGTGTGTGAGAGACACTATTTTGAAGATGGTAAAGCATTATACCATTGTTATGATTCTGGGTATTAAATAAAGTAGTCCTTGGGCCGGCCCCGTGCTTAGCGGTTAAGTGCGCACGCTCCGCTACTAGCGGCTCAGGTTCGGATCCCGGGCGCGCACCAACGCACCGCTTCTCCGGCCATGCTGAGGCCGCGTCCCACATACAGCAACTAGAAGGATGTGCAACTATGACATACAACTATTTACTGGGGCTTTGGGGAAAAAAAAAAGGAGGAGGATTGGCAATAGATGTTAGCTCAGAGCTGGTCTTCCTCAGCAAAAAGAGGAGGATTAGCATGGATGTTACCTCAGGGTTGATCTTCCTCACAAAAAAAATAAAGAATAAATAAATAAATAAAGTAGTCCTTATTTCTCATTACTTATTAATAATGTCCCCAATCTAGCAACCTGGAGATAAATCTGATGGAGAGAAAAGCAAACTAAAGTTAAAGGCCATGTGAACTATACTTTCTGTAATGTGCAGAGAGGGGGTTGGCTACTCTAACAAACTTCACCTGTTAAAAAAATGTAAGAAATACACAAATACCCGTTGCTTCATGTAATTTTTTCCTTTAATAAAGGTTCGATATGCAGGCCTTCTTCTCCTAGGAAGAGAATCCTTCTTTGCTTCAGATTTCCGATGTTTAACACTCAGTATTCCATTGGTCATTCCTACAACTATTGTCTCATCTTCATGCTAACAGCAATTAGAAAAATAAGTTAGTCCATTCCTAACTCATAACTTATCTTACTTTTTCTTACTATTTTTAACTCATAATTTATCATAACGTTTGCTGCTTATCCACACTTTCGCCAAGAGTTCCATTCAGACATAGATACTCTGCCCAACAACGATTTATGCAAAAAGTTAGAGCAAAATCACTTTTCCCTCTAAGATACTATTCTGTTGACAGAACCTACCATAACTGTTATAAGTTATCACTGGCAATTTGTATAACACACAGTTAATGACATCTTGGGAAACTTTCAAAATAATTTTTTTTCTGCATCTCCTTATTAGAAAAGGGATTACGTGCTGGCATCACTTTCCACAATCTTGCCAAGAAAATATTTTGTAATAATTTGTACAAAATAATTTTGTAATAATATCTGTAATAAGCTTTTCCTCTCCCACTTCAAATTTCTACATAATGTATTCAAATGTCCTCCTCCTCAACAGCTCATGAAACTTGACAGTGGAATTCCAGAAAGAGCAGTCAACAAAGAAAAGGAGCTATTTCCTTTTGTTGCCCCCTTCTTTTCTTTGCTCAGAGAGCCAACTTGCCTTCCTGGAGTACTGAACCCTTAGTTACAAGTGTTGAAGACATTCCTCAACTTCCCGGGCCTGGGCCTCTGTGCTCACAACGCCCACAGCACTGTACTTGGTCTGCAACTATGCAGGGAGTGAGACCTAGACTAAAGTCATGCTAAGTTATTGGGACAAGTCATATATTCTCGCAACTGTCCTAACTCAATTATCTAGTGTGGCAAGAAGAAAATAAGACTTACTCAAATACAAAGATAAACCCTAAAATTCCATTTTAGTTTCATTTAGCAGATAAGTGAAAGCTTTAAAAAGAGCTAAAAAGAGCTAAAACTACTTACTGCAAGTGCAAGACTCAAAATTGAAGCTGCGTAATCAAAACTGTGGACTACTTTGTAGGAAGTTGTACTGTAAACTTTCACCTTCCTAATAAAAAAGAAAGTTTTGTTACAAATCATATTGGAAAGGAGTAAAAATGCAAATTTTATATTTTTTGAAAATTCAATATATGAATATTAAAATTTACACAATAATGAAGAAAAACAATGATTAGTAATATTAATTGCAAACTAATTCATCACTGAATCTCTTTTTAGAATGAACTATTTATTAGCACTAACCATGATGTTTGTATAAAGACTTTGACAAGCAACCAGGACAGACCATGAACCACTGCCACCTGAAGATAAAACTTGAGAGTAAAGAAAATGCATCAGCAGAAGTACACTGGAAGTCCAGGAAGGGGCTTCTCAACCTCAGCATTCCTGACATCTGTTCCATGCATTGCAGGATGTCTCGAAGCATCCTCGGCCTCTGCCCACCATATGCCAGCAGCACTCTGCCCCAAGTTGTGGCAACAACCAAAAATGTCTCTAGATATTGCCAAATATCTCCTGGGGGACAAAAATCACTCTGGGTTGAGAACCACTACAAATAGAGGCAATCTGCACTTAGCTTTGAGGGGCAAATCTAAAAATCAAGTCTCAAATTGCCTAGGTAACATTATTTCAGAGAATGTGCTATACGTTTACATAAAAATTCCTTTGTATTAGAAATATTTTCTAGTTTTTAAAATATGTATACTTTTTAATAAACATGATGAAAAACCAAGGCTTTCCATAACAGTGAAAAAAGGAAATATGGAAATAAAATGAGCAACAATAGATGAATATAAGTAAATTCTAGAACTGTGCCATAGCTCTAGCCATGTATGGCTATTGAGCACTTGAAATGTGGCTAGTGAAAATGAAGAACTGAATTTTTTATTTTACTTAATTTTAATTAACTTAAATTTAAACCTTAGAACAGAGGCAGGGAAAAAATATTTTTCTGTTAAGTACAACTATATTTTTCTTTAATCATTGTAAAATATTATTATGTATCACAGGGCATGTATCAGATGCCTAACTTGTTTCTAGTCTCTCAATAATTTTTACATTGATTACACATTAAAATAATATTTTAGATAGAGTGGACTAAACAAAATATATTAAATTAATTTTACCTAGTTCTTTTTACCTTTTTAACGTGGCTACTAAAACATTTACAATTTTGTAGCTCGCATTCTATTTCTATTGGACAGCACTGTTCTAGAATATGAATTAATGGAATACTAATACCTATTTAAAATAGAAATATTTGGGCCACATTAATGTATAGCAATTTTTACATCAAGTTCAAAATTTTAAAGAATATATACATGTACTCGTTATAAATATTTTAAAATACACGAATATACAATAATGATTTTAAAAGAAACTATAAAATAATATAGATTATTTTAAAAGATTAACATTCAAATGGTTCAATAAAATTCCGTTAAGTACATAAGTTAAAGCAATAAATTACGTCAAAGGAGAAAATAAGCTTGCTATGTGGGTAAATAAAAGGTCAAAACTATTTTCAACTCAACAGATTTTTTTCATGGAAATCATCTGGCAGAATATTTATTTTATCACAAATTCTGCAGCATTCCCTCACTTCCTCGAGCAGTAAACACTCGTACACTAGTAACGATGAAGAAGGAAAATTAAAACGCTGACCTGTCCAGTGAGCCGGAAAGCAACCTCTGCCCGGAGCTGCCCAGACACAAGCATGTCACAGTCTTGTGATGGTTCTTCAAGGACACCAACAACTGTCCCCCTTTCAGTACGTCCCAGACTTTCACATAGCGACCTCCTGTAAAAAGAAACAAGTGTGGGTTTGATATTCCGCCTACAGATTCAAAATTCTAAAGACGTGAAAAGCCTTCTTCACCGGATCCTCCACAGCGCGGAGGCAGAGTGAGGGATTCAGAGCGCGGCTGCCTGGCTGCAACACCGGCTCTGCCATTTACCGGGCGTGCGAGTGATGACAGTAACCGTTCCTACCCCACAGAACTGTTAGCACGAATGACGCATTTCATATGTGCAAAGTACACAGAACCACCCGGTAAAACGAACGGTATAACCAAAGAAAGATTTTATTTTAAGAAAATTATAATAAAATCATTCTTCAAAAGGAATTTTGTATAACCATGGAAATGAATAATGTAGATTTTCTAAAAATTTTGTCAATCACAACAAAACTGAAAAACTTCCCAATAACTTTTACTGTAAGAGTTGGAAGGATCCTTAAAGGCAATTTAATCCAGTGGTTTAAAAGAATTTTCTTAATGCAGCATCTTTTCTTTCAACGAAATATTATACAAGTCTAGCAGGTAAAATAGAAAAAGGGGTTGGAGGGGAGCACAGAAATACCTATCCTGACCGGGGAACAGGGCCTGGACCCTAGCTCACTCCCCACACGTGGCAGCTCACGAGAGATGACAGCTTGAAACCATTGATCTAGTCCAACCTCTCATTTTCAAGGTCTACAGAAGTTAAGGAATTGCCCAAGGTCACACAATTAGCTAGTGACACAGTGGAGATTAGCAGACAGGTATCCATTCTCCCTGTTCAACTTGAACTTATTTTCATTTCTCAAAATAACAGCAATAAAAATGGATACGTCTGACAAAGTTATCAACTTATTTTGAAATCAATAGGTACGGGGGAAAGGAGTACCTTTCCCCGGGCCAATTTCTATTTGGATTTTAGAATTAAGGAAAAAAAAACCCAGACACACAGCCATACATATGCTATAAAGTATACATACTACTTGTGTATTCTTCTAACGTCAACACATTCATTTTGACTTGACAAATGAAAAAAGCCAATTTACTTCTTTCACTATAATTTTGAGAATGCACTATGATCAACATAACAATAAACACCTGAGTTCCAACTTGATGAAAACTGTATCAAGGCCCCTTTTGACTCCACATTGTCTCCTCCTCCAGCACTATCAGCTCTTGGCTGGGTAAGGCCATTTCAATCAAGAGTCACATAAAAAGAGACAAGCCTGACTCTAGATCTGAAAGAGCCTGTCTTCCAAAAGCTGCCGCAGGTCTCTTAGGCAGGAACAACAGCAGGAGTGTGAGCTGGATTTAGGGGTTATGTACAAGACGCAGGCTCTCAAGTTCTAGGACATCAGATCTGCCACTCACCACTTTGTCTTGGACAAATTAGTAAATACTTTTATTTATTTCCCTAGTTGCAAAACATGGAGAAAACTAACCGTCTTGTAGGCTCATCTAAAGCATTAGAGATAACATGTATATTGGCTCACATTAGGTACTAGATAAATAACTGCTTGCCTGTCCCACTTATCAATTGTTTGAGCAAAAACCTAGATATGCAATTCAAGTGCACACTGATAAATTACAAAAAGGAACTGATAAAGAAATATCTGACTCAAGACCAACACACTGATGAAAGTAATTTTTAAAAGAAATACCTGCTGACACCAGAAGACCTCCAGAAGGAAAAAGCAGCACACTCTCCACTGGCTGCCCGTGCTCAACAGAGATAACACTCTGGTTTGTTCGGGCATCAAACATCTTCACAGTATGATCATATGACCCTAAAAAGTCAATTTTGTATTATGTAAATTTCACTCCTCAAAACAACAAAAACTACGTGTGCGTGTGTGTGTGTATTCACACACAAATTTTAAAAGAAGAAAAAGCTTAGATGAAATTTTAAAAAGACACGTATATTCACGAAGATTCAGTACTTCCAATCTCTCTGGTACCACTGAGTGTTTCTCAGGAAGCACTATACCATACTACACAGAATCTGCAACTATTCCTGTCTTTAGGCCACTGTGACCACTGACTTGTCTGGGAATCTCTGCAGGGGCACCCACTAAGACTGAACCCTACTATCTTTGTTTCTTGGCTGCTGAAGCTCTGTGAAAACCAGAGTACTAACCCCATTACAGTTCTGACTGTCTTAGTGCTTTCAAGGCAGCCTGATGCTTCCAAACACATCTGGAGGACAATAAGAACAATCACCAAAAGAAGAAAAAGAAAATAAAGCAATTGGATAAATGGAAATATATTTCTTTATAAAAAGTTTTTAAACTCCTCTATCCCAAGAGTCCCAAAGCAATATTAAAGTATACCATACTAAAATTATCAACTTCAGGGGGAGGGGGAAAGAGTTCACCAACCTGTTACAAAGAGATCCGGGTTCAGTTTGCTAGCACATCCACACCTCACATAATCAGAATGTTCTTTAAATGTCAGAACTTCTTTGGAGTTTGGAATATCCCATAATTTAACTGTATAATCATCAGCTCCAGAGACCACATGATATTTGTCAGCTGTAAAATCTACTGTATGAACTGCTCTGAAAGAGCAAGAATCAGTATATTAAAAAGCAAGAAAAAAATTATATTTCTGGCACCTTTTAACATAAAACATTCCTTTTCCCCAAAGTAACAGAAAAAAATCAACTCAGTTTCAGGGAGTAATTGTAGGGGGACATCATGAGAGAAAAAGAAAACCTTTAAAACAAGTGTTTGTCCCCAAGCCAATTTAAAATTTTAAATACCCCTGCACTATGAAGTTAATAAGAATATTAAACAATAGCCTTAAAATTATATTTTCTAATATGTTAACAATTCTACTAAGCTGCTCAATGAAAGTAAACATTTTAAATGTTGGAACAAGGGTACTTTTCTTTAATTTAAAAAATTTCAAAATGAGTAGTTCTTTAAAAAATTCTAAGACTTGGGCCAGCCCCGTGGCTTAGTGGTTAAGTGCACGCGCTCCGCTGCTGGCGGCCTGGGTTCGGATCCTGGGCGCGCACCAACGCACCGCTTCTCCGGCCATGCTGAGGCTATGTCCCACATACAGGAACTAGAAGGATGTGCAACTATGACATGCAACTGTCTACTGGGGCTTTGGGGGAAAAAAAACAAAAGGAGGAGGATTGGCAATAGATGTTAGCTCAGAGCCGGTCTTCCTCAGCAAAAAAAAAGGAGGATTAGCACAGATGTTAGCTCAGGGCTAATCTTCCTCACACACACACACACACACAAAAATCTAAGACTTGCCACTAAGTAGGATCATGTTAAGTGAATTTCTGTTATATTTTAAATGTTTCACTGATGGGGTAAGACCATCCTGATAATACCCTATAAAAAAAATTTTCAAGATTTTAAATCAATAGCCAATCCAGCAATGACACTGGTAATCCTGGAACAAAATTATAATATTAAATTGCCCTAGACATTCAATTTATCAAAGGACAAAATACTAAATCCAAGAAGAAAGAAAATCCACCTTCCAACTTGACTTCAAAATGAGAACCTCTAATACAGTCCAGGCCTATGAGTTCTCATTAGTAGTTGTGAGGTTGCCTTGAGATCAGTGGTTTGTAATCTCTTTCAGGTCACAGAACCCACTAAGAAGTTAATGAAAGCTAACAGGATGTCTTCCTACATAAACGTACACTTCCTAAAATGTCACATACAGTTTTAGGGAATCCATGAGCCCCATGAAACTGGACTATAGAACTGGACCAAGTTAAGCGTTCTGTCTTAGAACAACCAGGAAATAAGGTACATAAGGTACATAATCTTCATAAAACTGCTCTCTCTGTTTTTATTCAAAGCCCAAAAAATGAATAGAGCTTACAACAAAACAAAACAAAACAAGAACACATAAAAACCAACTGTCTGTAACTGTATGGTGACAAACGTTAACTAGACTTACTGTGGTGATCATTTCACAATATATACAAATATCGAATCATTATGTTGTACATCTGAAACTAACATAATGTTGTATGTTAATTATACCTCAATTAAAAAAAATAAAAGAAAACAAAAAATTGTCTCTTACTTAGTATGGCCTTCAAACTGCCTGAGAGGAGCCCTCCCACTTATATCAAAAAGCTGAACTCGACCATCTTCACTGCCAGCCACCAGCAGTCTACCGTCCTGTCGAAAAGTAGCACAGTATGCCGTGTCTTTAAATCGAGAAAAGGTTTTTATAGGTTCTTGGGAGTACCGGCCATAAATGTGAATCTACAACAAGATAAAAAACACAGAATTTCACCAGATGGCTCAAGATCAGTGGTAAACATAAACTATACTAAAGAAAAATAAATTTAATATTATATTTACCCTTGAAGAAGCTGTGACAGCATAATTATATGGAGGCTGCGGAGAAAAGTCAACTTTTGACACTGCACCAAACTCCTTGATCTGAACAGGGGTCTTAATGAAAAATAATACAGAGTTACAACTGGTAAAACCTATTTAAGCATTATATAATTTCTGTACGTTTCTTTCTTTCTTTTTTTTTTTGTGAGGAAGATCAGCCCTGAGCTAACATCCAATGCCAATCCTCCTCTTTTTTTGCCAAGGAAGATTGGCCCTGGGCTAACATCCATGCCGATTTTCCTCTACTTTATATGGGATGCCGCCACAGCATGGCTTGACAAGCGGTGCATCAGTGCGCGCCCAGAATCCAAACCTGCGAACCCTTGGGCCGCCAAAACGGAGACCATGGACTTAACTGCTGCGCCACTGGGCCGGCCCCAAAGCATTATATAATTTCTTACCAACCATTTCTTTATGTTCTTAGTAATATTTACTAGGTTGTACTTAATATAGAAACATGAAGAAAGCAGAAAAGGTCAAAACCCCAACACCCAGAGTATCCCTGCTGCCATTAAAGTATATAAATATATGGTTGAAAAGCCGCACCCCACTCTTTCTCTTCAGCTGTGGAGTCTTCTGTGATTATTACTGAAATTATTAAAAGTTCTGCCTATACAGCATACATTTAACACCATGTATTTTTAACTGACACAAAAGTCATACCACGCAGGCCATTCTGCACCTTGCTTTCTTTTCACTTAATAACACATCTTAGGTAACTTTACATATGAGCAACAGATTTACCATCCATTACAGGATACATCATAATTTACTTTACCAGTCCACCACTAATGAACACAGGTTTTTCTAAGATTTCTAATATTACAAATAACACTTCAGCTAACATCTTTACACATATATCTTAGCAAATTTGGGTGAGTATATTTATTAAGTTCCAAGCTGTGGAATCTACAAGGCCAAAAGGTATTTTTATCATAATAGATAAGCCAAATTGCCCTCCAAAAAGTCTTCACCAATTTCCCTCCCTCAAGTAACGATGATCAAAATTTTTCATTTGTGCCAATATAACAGACGAAAAATAGTACCCAAATTACTGTTTTAATTTGCATTTCTTCAATTGTAAGTGAAGCTGAGGTTCTTTTAATATATTTATTGGCCATTTAAATTTCTTTTTCCATAAACCTCCCAATCCCAATCTTTTTCCATTTTTCTATTTAGTTGTTCATCTTTAAAAAAAATTTATTTGTAAGCCTTTATAGATAGTCTAGAATAATTAATTTTGAATCACTTTCTCTTTAGATTAAAAAAGGAAAAAAAAATCTTCTTGCATATGAGATTCAAAATCTAAAGTGGAATTCATTTGGCACCAATTAAGCATCGATTCTGTGCTAGGCACTTGTATGATTAAACTGATTACGCAGTAGGGACTTTCATATAAAATTCCAAGAAAAAATATCAGATATCAAATTTTCTGCCCAAACTATAAGCTGCTGACAGATTATCTTTAGTTATTAGTTCTCTGTTAGAGCATCCAAAGTAGAACATACGCTGGAGAAATTGGCATAAATGATATCCCTTCCCCCTCCCCCAGTTATCATCTATACTTACCTTATAGTTGTTCCAGTACTGTGTATCCTGGGTGATTTTTTCACCAAGTATAGGATATGTTTGAATAGCTACAGGCTTATAACCAGCCATAATGTCATATAATTGGACTGATATCCAAGGGTAAATAGTTTGAAATTGACGTTAGAAATAATTATAGTGACTCTGCTTTATGTCTGAAAAAGAAAATATTTTATATACATATGTTATTCATAAACTTGTATATATAGTCATGATTTTCACTCTGCATCCTTTCAAAAGGCTGCATGGTAGCTTATAGATTAGTGACCAATAAACCACTTAGTGTAACACAGAAGAGACAGTCTAAACGAAGCAAGAACAATAGTTAGGGCTACCATATTGCACCATCTACTCAGCTATACAGAGGCTACACAAATGTTCTCACATCTAACCGACAAATTTATAACTCTTGGGAATAAATCTGGCTCAGCCATCCAGTAGTCAAAGCACAGAGAAGCACACAGGTTCAGACCATTCATTTACTGACAACCGAAAACATTAAAGTGAAACTGCAAATACAAAAGTTTCCTGAAAGTAAACTTAAGATGATATTTAATCTATAAGAACAGTCTCGAGACTTGTCTTCCTGAAAGCCTAAAAATGCCGAGAAGAAAGGAAAACAAAGCTAATATTCCAAGGTAGACACTTTAAATTGAAAAGCTTAAAATTAAATTAAAAGCTAATATTCTGATGTAGAAGTTTAAAGTAACAGAAAAGGATAAAAATGAATTAAAACTTTTAACTGACATGTAATTAGGCCAAAGTGTCTTTCCAGACTATTCAACTGCAAAAGAGATTCGATTTTATCAGGTGAATGATTCCAGTGGTGCAACTCATCCTCTATTTCAAAAGGCCTGAAAACAAGGCATGTAACACCAAAATAAATATGGGCAGAATATTTAAAGGTTGTTTTGATGAAACATGGCAATCAAGGATTAAAAGGGGGGAAACTTTTCTGTTCATTCAAGTACCTACAATGTGTGGGACACTGTTCTAGGCACAACAGTGAGTGAAACAGACACGGTCTGTGCCCTCCCATACTCCAATACTCTCCATTTCAGCTGGTGATTGGCACCAGCTAGGAATCTGGATTCAGCCTTGACTTGTTCTTCCTCCTCACTTTAACATCTAAATAGTTAGCGATACCTGCAGATTTTACCTCCCAAATCTTTCTAAACGTCATCATGTCCACTCCACCTAGTTTCACTGCCCTAATTCAGATCTTCTCATCTACTGAAATAGTGCAATATAAGGTCTCCCTGACTCCCTCATCCATCCTCCAATAGTCGTCAGAGTTACCTACTACAATGCAAATCCAGCTTTTGCTACAAAGCCCAACATTACCCAGAAAAGAAGGTCCAAGCTCCTCAACGCGGCATGTAAGGCCCTCTGTGATCTGGCCCTGGCCTACCTTTCCAGCTTCACCTCTTGTTATTTCCTTAACACATTCTGTTCTTTCTTGTCTCAATATCCTTGCTCATCTGTCCTCTCTGACAGGAATTATCTCCTTCTAACCACTTCCTATTTATCATTTAAAGCTCAACTCAAGGATCACATCCTCCAGGAAACCTTCTCTGACCTCCTAAACTGGGTCAGGGGCCTGTCTTCTATAATTCTGCTAGACTCTGCCTATTTATGTAAATACACTTAATCACAGTGCATTGTAATGATTTCTTTTTCCCACTAAACTGAACATTTGGTGTCTGGAAGATTTTTTAAAAAGTGCTCAAAGAATGTTTGTGGAAGGAAAGAAACGAAGTACTGTACTGGGTTCCACGAGAAAACACAAAATTAAAAGCACAAGTGGTGTCTATAATATGACCATTGCCATAGAGCAAAAGTCAACAAACTTTCTGTAAAGGGCCAGATGATAAATATTTTAGGCTTTGCAGGCCAGCAGACAAAATGGAGGATATTATGTAGTTACTTATACAGCAAGAAAGAAAAATATTCCCAAATTTTTGCTTATGAAACCCCGAAAACAATTATGAGTACAAATTTTTGTTTATGAATGAACAGAATGGTATTCTTTGGAGGAGGGGGATAACATTTCACTTAATTCGGGGTTCAAAGTTAATGTTCGCTCTCATCAAACAGACTGCCAACGTTCATCTGTAAAAATCATTCTTAGCTCACTGGCTACCCAAAAACAGGCACTGGGCCAGAGCTAGCCCGCGGGCCTTCGCCCCTTACGAGAGCACAGGCAAGGGGTACGTGACTCTGCCTTAAGAAAAACAGTGCTAAGCTTGAGAAGGAAAAAGTGAGGAGCGGTAGCAGCGGTTTGCCAGATTAAGGCGAGGAACAGCACTGGAGGCGGAGACGCGGGAGCCGGACACAAGGCAAAGGCGCGGAGGCAGCAGGTGATGGAAAGCGAGCAGGCAGAAAGGACGCGGAGCGGCCAGAGCCTGAGACCGAGGCTAGGTGGGTAAGAGTACTCCTGTCCTAGCGTAATACCGGGCAGAGCATCAAATACGCGCTCAAAGCAACGTAGAGAATACTGAGGGCGCAGAGGAGATTTTTAATTCTCACCGGGCGGCTCCCGAAAGCGTCAGCGTGTCTTTAAGTGTGTTATTAGAACGAACTGAGCACTTCAGACGCGGGCTGGGGGCCTCGACAGCGACGGACCCCCACGAGCAAGGACAGAGGGAAACCTGCCCGCCGCCTCGGCGGCGCGGATCACTCCGGGGCCTGAGGCGGCGCAGGGCGGCGGAGGACGTGCCGGCAGAGGAGGAGAATCCCGTCGACGCTAACGCGGGGCCCGCGCGAGGCCGGTTACGGACGGAGCCATCCCGCGGGGCCCGCCCGGCGCCGCCGCGGGGCCGCCTTCACCTACCTCCGCCGGCCCGAGGCTGCGCCCAGACCCCCCGGCTCCAAGCAGAACTTCTGGGACCCCGCCGGCCGCTCCCGCGACGTCCGGGATCACTTGCGGAAAATCACGCGGATCCCGCGGCAGCCGCCGAGACACAGGGGGAACCCAGCGGCCGGCCCGTCGCGGGAAGGTGACGTCACGGCGCAGCTCACGGAGCGACACGGCCCGGGTGACGCGAGGCGGCCCGGTGGGCGGGGCGCTGGGGAGGAGGCGTGGCCGGGGCGATACTGGCCTGGCGCTGGTGACCCGGCGCGGCGGGCTGAACGGCCCGGTGTCTGGCGTGCTCGCGCGGGGAGGGCCGCGGTGCGGCGGCGGGAAGACACCCGGGAGCCCACCGGCGGCAGGGATGCGCGTGGGTTTGGGGCCCGAAAGCGAAAGGAGCAATCGGAAGTGACGTCGGGTCAAAACAAGCCGGCCGGGGGCCTGCAGTGAGTCTGCGGCGGCAGATGGCAAGCCCCTCCCGCCGTGGGCCGTCGAGGGTGGTCGCGAGGCGCCGCGCTCCCGCCCGGCCGGCCCCG